TTTCACAAATACGAGAGTTAATGACTTTGATGTCTATAAAGTATAGATTTGAAGAAGATATTGGTGGTTAATTCTTATTATATCTTAGCATAAGATGTTTTTCGATAATTGTGAAGGGATAAAGCAAAGTGATATGAAACCGATGGTTGCAAAATACTTGTAAGAAACTGAAATTGAACAATCCGTTTCGAAACATCTCTGCTGAAAAACCAGTAAATGTATTAGTTCAGTTTGAATGTAGGTACTGATATAGGTACTGAAAACTTTTGATCACTTAGTCAAATGGTCAGTTTCCTCCCTTAGATAGACAACCCATAATTGGTGGGTTTCTGTTTAGACGCTGACCACACTTGTGCAATACATTCCAACACAAAGCATACCCAGGTGAATGAAAGGGGTTAGACAGAACTTTGGGTGATAAGACTTTTATTCAATAGCTTAAACTTTTCCCTCCGAAAATAAACACACAAAAATTATCTAGGAATAAAGGTTATCGAAGCACAGTTACATCTCCATTATTGCCTTTTGCCAAGACTTCAGCCAGCTTGATAACAAGTCACCACTTGTTGATCGAATGAAAAAATTGACAACGCTTCATTTGAAAGCTTGCTTAAACAAGTCCGCGAGAATCAGCAGGCTATCCAATATTGTATGTTTGAAATCTTTTATTACAATTTCCAAATCACCTTTGTTTATTTAGTAGCTGATTCAAAAACGTATGTGGGACTGGGCATAACTGATATTTTTGGAAAAAATTCCATTTAAATCGGTAGATAAACACTTACTGGAGTTATTCAGTCAATCCAACATTTTAACGCAAATATGAGACTTCGCCCTACTAGGTAGCATTCGGATTTTCCCCTTTTCACATCAGAATACAAGTTAAATGCGTGCAAGACAACAGAGGATAAAAGTGGACAAGCTCAGTCAGACAAAGTAGCCAGCAAAAAACGAAATAAGTAGAAATTTAGAGAATAATAAAATATGATATGAAGGTTAGAATTCAGATATGTGCATCCATCTGAACAGCTGAGGTCAATATTGGGCAATGTCATGTGGCATATACAACCACCAATTTCGTGTGTGATGTGGGCTCCAATTTAGAGGTATTTATTTATCTACATGACTCAGATAAGGAGACAGGAGGACTGTGAACTGACGCCACGTATTAGTCCAGATACCTGTAACATTTTGCCAGCCTAAACGTACCTCGAGAAACTTCGTTCAAAGAATATGGCTCCACAACCTCAGTCAACAAAGATCTACAATAGCATCAACGAGCTTACCTCTTCTGCCTGTGACTCTATTGCTTACCTACGTGTTGCTTTGGTTATATAGTCATGAAATACAGCCTATGGCAAAAAGCTGGCGATTACAGAACACCCGAAGATTTCTCTCGTTCCTCACGTTTAATGACTGTATTTTGCGTCGATATTGTGCAACTACTTTGCAGCATACTTGATCCGTGAGAGGAAATTAGAAAACTTGGTACTGTCATCAGTGACACAAGTGAGCATAGATCAGTAGAACTTATCACGTCGGTGCTGACATTTCGTCGGTCACTTATCCACTAACTTCCCAACTTAACAAGCAAGTTGAGTAATCGAAGTATTCAATCACTCCACCATCCATCTCTGGACATGACAGTGATGCTGATCACTCATGAAGCAACAAATATTTAAGGTGGAATGCATTTCAAACATTTGCAAACTGCAACTCAAGGTTTTCTTAAGACTATCAGAATCTTCATTTAACGAGACTATGACGTATGCATTCTCGAATTTGCGGTTGTAAGGTTATCTCCAGTTAGGAGAAGAAAACATCTACATGCATGTTTAGGGAAAAGATGAACCAAAAAAGCAAAACAGGCTTCCCTGACAGAAACCATTAAGCTCACCTCGTACTTCGTCATGGGCCATGAAACGTACATCCGTGGGGAACACATTTCAGTGAAAAATAATAACATGGAACCTTTTAATTGAGGGCGATGAATGTCACTTTTGGGGGTTTTATATTTGCAACACGATTTCCTCGGACACAGTATGATATTTGGAAGGTAGTAAGTACTTATCTGTACCAATGATTAGTAGCTATCCTCCGCAGTTTCTTGAGAAATTTGCACGGACACACAAGAGACGGAAAAATAACAGTCACAGGAGTTTGAATAATAACGACAACACAGACAGAAAGGAGTTGACAGCCTCCATTGTGTTACCTTATAAGGAAGGTATATCAGAGACTTCATGTATGTACATCAACAAAGCTGGAATGAGGGTGGCATTTAAATCTATGAACTTACTAAGAGATAAGCTTTGTCAGTCAGACTAAGGATCCGATAGAACCAATTCGTCAAAATAAGCTAACGTATTGAATTCAATATAATGACTGTGAGGTCAAGTATATAGATCAAACTAGCTAGTTGGGGTCAGTTAGAATGGTGGAACATAAGAATTTATCTAAATACAAAATGACGTGCGACCTCGACTACTTCAATGCACCCACCCACATAATAGGGTGGGATCAAGTCACTGTATTTAAGTGCAATATAAATGGGTGGATGGAGAGATTGATTACCAAATCTTTGTTCATTGAGTCAACACCCAACAAATGTAATAGAAATGACGCAACAACTATACCAAAGATATGGAAAATTTTACTACCAATAAAAACAACTCATATACAGTGACATAACTATAAAAACCAGATGATAAAAGTAGTGTGACTACATCGATGCGATTATGAGCAATAATGTATGCTCGAAACAACATCAAGTAAATAATACTAGATTACTGTATGTTATAAAATAAATAAACAAATCTGATAAGGTATTAGTTTACGTTTTGGTACTTGTAACTTCCTGCTGCTATCCAGGGCCAAAATGCTCGACATCAGGGTATCGTACCTCAGTGACTTAGTGTATAACGTTGTAGTATTTAAAACTATGGGTACTGGTTTCGAGTCCCGGTAGGAATATCACTCACCGGAGTGCAGGTATGTCCAGCTGACAAGTCCCAAATAAGATAGAATGTGCATTCTAAATCCCACTGCTAGTCAACAAGATAAATATGACCAAGAAAAAATTCTAAACAGTCCTTTCGTTACACTCCAGAAACCTGGCAAAGTAGTATAATTTGCAAATTAACTGCTTCTGCCAAGACAAGCTTTAGCGAATTTCTTTTTGTCGGCTAATCCAGAGACTAAGTGATTTTGGCTATCCTTACCCTGTTTCTACCATTTCAACACTTTTCTTAGTATTTCTTTTCTTAACTAAGAACCAAGCTAATACCATGTACAGTTACTTGAAATTTCGAGTTAGGTAATGGATGAACTATCTGCATATTTCAGTTAAGAGCTTATCTGTAATAGAGACAGTATGTGCTCCAAGAAACAATAACAGACCATAAAATCCTGTATTAGGTTACCTGAACATCACGAAAGCAGGGCCCGTGAATTATTTTTGATATACAAAAAGATTTCACTATAAAAATCAATTTTGGTTCAGGTTGTTCCAGTCTAATTTTTTGTGTGCATTATTAAAGCGTCTTATCAGCATCTTTAAAAGCAATTCCGCTTAAACTGTATGGTATTCATAAACCTATGTTAAACAGTCTTTTCTGCTTTAAAGATTTTTTTATGAATTCACTAAGCTTCATGAAATATGCAAAAAGAACAGTAATTTTCAAAACAATAATTTGAGTATGCATCTCCTTACACCCTTTAAGGTGAAAGATGTAACAGAATTCCTCCTCACCTACAAAAAGTTATTTAATAGACTTAATTAAATGAAAAAGAAGCAGCATTTCCCTTCTAATCGTATTGATTTCAAAAGATAGTAGCAAGAATCAGAAACGTGGTTAAGTTCTTCTTTTATGCCTGCAGGAATGCCTGGTAAAGTAGAATTTGATTGGTTAGGCGCTCTACGAATAAATAGTGCGTTTTCACTTCAAGAATTCACCTGTATGTGCTGAAATTTTACATTCCCTCAAGTTATTATAACACTAACATATATTAAATATTGTGATCGTAAATAGCACCCTCCCTAAAAAATACTATTATCTAAAAGTGATTGCTCATGTAAAAGCTTAAATAAGTTAATGTAAGATTAAAACTTGGGCACTGTAGCGGAGTATAATTACATATTAAATTGTTTATATGATATGGCACAATGTTGGAGTATTATGTACTGAAAGACATTTACTCCCTTTGATAGGAATATGAGCAATAAATTCTGTTCGAAACGTTATTCAGCAAATAATACTGCATCTTTACGCACCATTTCAGACAAACAGTTTAAATATGTCGTTTTTGAAAATTTGAAAATGATATATATTATAACTGAGTAAATTTGAGACTAACATAAGTAACGACCTACTTATTTTACAGTCAACAATCAAACATTTTTTTCGAAAAGTGATGAACTCACAATCTGAGACCGTATACGCACCAATATACTGATGCAGTATCGTAATATATCCCAATGTTTATGCATATACCAAAATAATTGCTTTATTTGTTGCAAAATAAACTGAAACTACAGAAAATCTCTCGGTCTAGAACCCCTATCAATTTTATTTACTTGCCTTTAACAGCATAGGATGAACATGTACAATAAACGTCCAACTATTGAACATAAAATGCAACACAATGATAATTCACTTAAAGAATTTAACCATCAAAGCTGTTAAATCAGTACATTTTTAACAGTTTTCGACAACTTATTCATTTTAAAAAATGGTTTATGGATCAGTTAGAGGTACTAATGAACAGTCAAAAGGTGTGAAACGAGTTTCCACTCTTAAACTGTTTTATTTCTAAACGACTAAAATTTTATTTCTTAAACAGACATCTAATAATAGTTATCCACTAACAAGTTTATTTATTTAGAGAAGACAGAGTGTTACGTATATAAAATAAAATGACCCAGCGTTTGCTTACAATATTAGGATTGCATAAACGATGGAGACATTTGTAGAACTTAGTGGAAAAATTATTTAACTTACCAATACAGTCTTTCATTCCGCTTACTAAATTCTGGTTAACATCAATACTCATTGGTCCACACAAATCTGGCATATGTTTATTACTTTCAATCATTGTAATATCTCCATAATCTGAATACGGATCCTCTAATTTATCAAAACGATTTTGTGATTGTGAAAGCAATGAGTTATGTGAATGCGCATTTTTTAAAATAGTCGTGTTTTCTTTAGGAATAAATGTAGAATATCCTTTTTCATGGAGTAATGTAAATACAATCAAGAGTTTAAGAGTGATAAATCCAGATTTTCGCCTCCTGTACATTCGAGTTTGCGAAACTCTGATGATCAAATGTGATAAGTAATAACAATACACAGAAATAATATTCTTTCTGTGTGCATTGTAGATTAATTAGGACTTTGATTTCATCGTTATCCAAAAATGCGTAGGTAAAGTAAGGCTCAACAAAGGGAATTCAATCATCAAACATCATGTTAACTTCTAAACATAAATAATGATACATTTACAATTTTTTACCTTTTTAAGGACATTGCTGGTGAATATTTCACTCAGACTGCTGACCAATTAGAATTCAACAAAAGCTACCAATTCAGACAAATGATGAATACTTGTTTGAAATTAGATTCTTATTGGTTCATTTATGCTGCATTTCTCAACCTGAAAGTTAAATTTCTACTCCTGATATTTGACAGCTAGAAGTATTTTTAACAAAAGAGTCGCATCAAATCTAGTGAATTTATCAAATTTCGATTAGTGATTAATCGCGTTTTAAGTCATTCGGATACAATATCAATTTTGATTGACTAATGAAAGAAAATGAAATTTGAATGACGGTATGATTACAGTTGTCTTTAAAGTACAGTCATGAATTCTTTAAATGAAATGATCAAATTTATGTTCAAAAAGTAACTTCATCTCATGCCTTTAACATCGTTTATGCAAAACATATTCTAGACGGTTATGACAAATCAAAAAAATGAATTATTCGAATGTTTGACATTATAATACAATTTCGATAGGCATTAAATAAATATTTGAAAACGCCAGGAATGTCATCGGTTCAAATATCGGTATATCGCTTGAAAAGACAAATCAAAAAGTAGTTATAGACAATTAAAATTGCATTTACTTTGTTATTATTTCAATATACAAGTGCGTACTTCCATGAAATAAGTTTTACTTTATATGATCTACTGAATAAAAAGACCTTATATTCTTCTTAACTTCTTTTATTGAGTGAAACATTGCATCTGGTAATACGTTCATCTGAATTAAAATTACAATATGTCCCTTAATGACTACCGAAGTTGAATATTTTCATTGTTATTAACAGAGTTAATGTTTGGATTCAAGTTTTAGAAGTACATAATTGCGAAAAATACTTGATGATTTTACTCAGGAGAATAAAAATCAAAAAAATATTTTGTGGATTTTCGAAGATTTCTCACCTATATTAACACAGGTTCCAAACTAAGCCGTTCATGAATTTATTCAAAAAGAAACTAAAAAGTGTGTCAAGCTGATTTTTATCTACTTTTGTACATTCAGAACTTAAGAAAAACGTAGCATCAGGTCTACTCAGAAGTTGTGTCATCTGGTCAGTTAGCAGAAGGAATTTTACAGCATCAAAATAATATTTTCTTTGTTTGCATGCGTTCAAGTGTCTCTGCTAGTTTGTCTACTTCTATTTCTCAAGATATATTTATCGTAGCTTAGAACTGCATTCAACGAGTATACGAAAGAATACTATTTTCGTATCTTTTCATGATTAAGAAAACTGTTAGAAATGCCACGCATGAAAATTTGGTTGATTTCAGGGGTTTATTAATTCTAAGTAGGAGTAAGTCCTGGACTTTGTGATAGGTTATAATTCCATACTAGAATATATCACTCGACATTATATATAAGTATTTGTTTCCACCGTCTTCGTTTCTTGATTATCTGTCTATAAACTAAGGCCTGAACTCTTTATCCAAGGGACGATTTACAGATTTTAATGTTTACTTTGAACATAAAGCCACTTATTTCTCTTTCCTTTTCTCCAATCTGATAAATTAAACTTTACAATTTTGCTTTCTCATTGTTACTTCAAAACGTTCCCCTAACATAACTTACAACTCTGATTGTGAATACAGACATATTCTTTTTTGTTTAGTTAGCTTCTCTCACTAACGATGTTTATTGCTTCCTTTACTGTGATGTTCACTCATTCATTTGTAAGGCTCTTTCAAAATTGTATTTCCCACGAATGATTTCCAATTCCACTTATCTCTTTGTACTGTCATTCGACATTCACATTACCAATAACTTCATTTCGAACAGAGGCATTATTAGCACCTTTACACCCATTTTTACTTAAATTCACTTGTGGCTAACGGATTTTAAATGAAATATGATATTTTTCAGTTTTCATAAATACTTTATTGGAAGGCAATCCTTTCGGAAGATTTCTTATTTTTTTAAACGTAATGATCAGTTTTAAAGAGTATAAGAATAATACTGACAATTCACCAGTTCACTTAAATCATGCCAACAGTTGTTGTTAAAAAAGACAATCATTCGTTCATAAGATTAATATTTAGGATACCGAATTACATAGGTCTAAAGCAATGTTCACTAAGAATTCAGGATCATTTATTGTTTCACATGCTAGGATCACCTTCATCACTATATTTCTACATGAGATTGGTCACTTGTGCATATAGCGAAAAACCTTAGAATGAAAAAATGGTATGAAATGCAGCCTTGATCAGTATTGAAGCATCATTCCCGTACCGATAGACTTTTAATGCTGAAGAAGCATTCACAATTAATCTCGAACGACAATACATCAAACATTATATAATTTTTTTTAAACATCGTTGTTTATAAGATCTTTCATTCATTTCTTCATCACATCAAAAAAGAAATTATTTTAACTGCTCCGTAACACTACTTGCATTGTAGGAAGATAATATAATGCACATAACAATTCATTGGGGTTGACCTTACTATCTGTCAAAATACAGTAGAAACTAATAACATCTGGATGAGTGCAAATACCAATAATACTTAGAAAAACAATAAGAGATATTTTCATTAAGTTGCAATCTGTGGATTAAACGTAATGAACAATCGGGCAGTGTCAAATCATCCATATAAGAGCCCATCCGCATACCGAACGGAGATTAAAAGTATCAGACAATAACGTTATTAGATTCTCTGTACTGAAAAACCGCACTTTGAATTATACTGATCACGTTAACTCTCTAGTCACTAGTCTGTTCATTAAACCCCGTATGTGAAATACAAAGGTTAGGATACTTCATCAGACTAATAATGAGAGCTACGCGATAAAATCAACCAGGACTGTTTCCCAGTCTATTTCTCAGCCACTAACACCACTGAATGTAGAAAAAATTTGTATAAAACAGAAAAAGCAAGATGATTTCTTTGTTCGAGAATACCAGCTTCAGAAAAACCACCTAGTTATATCAGAATAAGTAAATCCTAACTTTAACTCTAACAACGCGTACTATGAGTGGTTAACTCAAAAGTACGCCCACTGCTGTATTACCAACCAACTTCCAGAAAAACGAAAGCTATCTGGATTACGGTTTACTGTAGCCATATAGTGCGCTTTCAATCAGTCAAGATCAACAAGGGAACTGAAATTACTGAGTAACAGTCCAAGTTGTCCCACAAATAATCAGCACTTTGAGACAAAAGGCCATAAGATTAAAGGACATGTTGGAAAAAGTAGTCGAAAGTGGCACAAAGTCACGCATAGAAAAAAAAAGTGAAGAAAATCAGTATAAGCATGGAGATGAAGGTAATGTGTAGATGCTTCTGTTTAAATGAAGTTGATTTTGAGTTGAGTCAATTTTTCTCTAGCTACGGGTTTCTGTTATCACATCGACTCTGACTTGGAAGACTAAATTTCTATACACCACTCAGACTAATAGTCAATAACTGTCATAGAGTTATACTTTGTTTCAGTTTGGCTGTCTCTAACATTTTATAAGCCTAAATCTACTTCAAGCAACACTACACGAGGATGCAGACAGCCACCTGGTATGCAAGACACATCTCCAGTCAATTCAGTCTATGAAATCTCACTACTTTATAAAGTGACCTTATCTACTACCTAGAACTCTGCGTCCAGCTTCTATGCTATTGACGTGGTGGCAAAATGAAATACAGCATATACTACCAAAGTGGAAGTGATTCCACGTATGAAACCACTTCATATCTTTCACCTTCATTGGCCATGATTTACAACCATGTAGAAGAACAGGAGTGGCTTCAGGATGGTTCTATCTATTCCTAATAGGCAACTGAATGTTTTGACGGTACCTTAAGTGATCAGAGTCTGAAGAAAGCATCCGAGCCTTTTAGTTCACTACTAAGATTTAATCGTCGACTAACCCACCAGGGCTGATCCAGCTTCCTAGGTTAGTGGGAAGCCGCTTTACTCCTTATACTTAGATAATGTACTGACACAGACTAGGCATAAAGGAAGAGTTTTCTTTCAGAAGATGAAGAAAGCATCCTAAGGATTTCAAAATTAGCACCCCAAGGGGTCTGGACTACTCTTCACCCTTACCTGAAAGTAATGTATCACCTGCGTACATCGGCTCTACTAAGTAGTCTCCAGAGACAAGATTATTCCCTATAAACTCAGATGAGGAAAGAAAGATTTTCATAACTCAATTCATGAAAAAAACTGAATAAGAATAAATAAAGTAGACATCCTTGGCACACACCACTGGATATACATGAAGTTTATGGTACATGAACAAGGACTCTATCGCCTCCTTGGGTTTTCGAGTACAGAGTATTCAACAGGGTGATTTAATTAAACAGCACTCTTTTTAATTAGAAATACTGCCGTTAGACCTTCTAATAAATGGATTCAAATACAGACTTCAAGTCAAGAATTAAAAGTACGTCTGAAGGCTTGTAGATGCGCATACGTTCCTAGACCTGGAGCAAGGATTTGGTAGGTACATTGGTGACAATATCTGAAATCTGCTTGGGCTTCTCAAACTTATTACTCATGAGCATCGTCCAATATACTAATGTTTATACAGCCTAGGATCTTAGACAGTATGCAAATCAAAATGATTCTCCTGGGGTTATGTAGGGGGAATTTATCCCGTTTACTGAAAACTAAGACGAACAATAAATAGAACCGGTGAGAGGGAATCATAACTGATTCTCATACGATAGCCAACACTTCAGCTAATCTGACCAATGATCCACGACTACCATCCTTTAATATGTCTGGTGCTATTCTACCTGACGCCACTGTCCTTCCTCTTTGCATCTCACTAACAGCCTTCATGACTTGTGACAATGTAGAATGCCTTATGTCACGGCAGTTTTCCGGATCCAATCAGACAGTGGGCAATCAGCGTTTTGCCGGATGCTACGTGAGTGATGCCTGGTAGTGTTCTCCCAATCATTTAACTCATCATTCGTGCAATTTCCACTGTTACCCACAGTTTTTGCCT